TTGTATCGATATACATAGATTGATACTTTTTTACGTAGAAAGCGACCTGCCGCATCTTTTTACCGTAAAGAAAAAAATTACGTGATTATACTTGAAAAAATAGCAGTGACCTTCGTATCTCCTGCACATGTCTATCCGGTGACAAATTGTAAGTATACCAAATTACTGCCCTGTTAAAAAAATGTATTCGAGACATTTTCTTCAAACAGCGAACAGTTTTTTGAATAGGAGATAATTGCATTTATAGATTAAAATGGGACACCCTGTATATGTGTATGTGTGTTGTGTGTGCGCATTATTGCATATACGTGTGTATTAACATGCATTCATATGTATGTGTATACGTGCATAGATGTATGAGAGCAGTGACGGCGTCGGCTGCTGCGCCAGCTGAAACGGAATAGTGGGGGTTAGGCGAACGTAGACTGTTCGTACAAGGGGAATGCGACGAACAGAACAGTTCAGTGTCAGCCAACGGAGGAGTGTCGTTTCGTCGACGGTGCTGTTACCACCGTTCGCTGACAGAACGCGAACCAAGTGGCACACACACTTGGGTGGTGGACGGGCACGCAGGTCTCGACGAGAAACGATCGACCAGCGGTTTCGTCCACGAGAAGCCTTCGTCGAAAAAACGGCCGGCGGTCTTCCCCGAAGTTCGTGGCAGAACGCGACATGTGGCCAACGTTTCGAAGCGGCTCGCGACGACTTCCTGCTAAAAATACATTCGCCAAGCGATCGAGGTGTTACGACGTGGTTACAGCAACAAGGGCAGAAACCGGCGACACGTCGCAATAGAAAGAGGGTCAACCCCCCTTTGTCTTTTTCCTCTTCGTTTTCGCCTCCAGCCATGCCAGGTGACAATGTGCTTCCGTCAGCCGGCCCCGCGAATACTGAACACGGTCGCGGTATCGTTCAGAGAATTCACGAGACTCGAGGCGCGAGGCAGCGATCTCCCGGTGGCTCGTCCACTCTGTGAATCTTCCCTGTGAAATCGCCCGCAAGGGGAACGTGCCAGCCGAAACGATCCGATGGGAGCCTGTCGTCGCGGTTGTTAAGTGGATCCTCTCCTTGTAGCCAGTCATTATTCGAAACTCGTGGACTCGTGTGGTGATATTTGAAGAAATTTAAACTCGCTGCGAAAGAATCAACGAAGAGACAACGTTATCGTGCGCGTTAAGTTTGATATATGTATATGAGAAACGCACAATACACGGTGTACAATAATAATAATAACAATCACCGACTGTGGCTGCAAAGGAAAATCACCAGTGTCGAAAATTGCAAACCGGGACTTCACCGGCGTTCTGTCAATAATGTCGCTAAACGACCGTAGCGGTACCATAGCTACCGTGCCATTGTTTCTCGTCTTGTAGAAAGAAGGAAAAAAAAGAGAAGGAAAAACGCGCGAATATTTGACACGTGCGATAAGCTGGATTTCTACCTGCACAGAAACAGGAAGGCAGAACAATCGCAACTCGTGAGCGGAGTATGAACACCGTTGATCAGGTAAGTTTTAATTGTCCTTGGACGAATGTGTGGGAGGGGGGGCGAACTTATGATTCGTTAGATCGATACCAACGTCGATGATGAATTAGTCGATTTATATAGCGGAAGTTCGCCGCGTCTGCGGAAATCGACTGGAAAAATAAATCAAACTTAATTAGGGTGGTTTTCTACCCTACCGATTTGACCAGTATTATTGACGCTGGGACCACCTAGGTGGTCGAAACGACCAATTTATTTTTTACAATTTTTGTAAAATGATTTTTCGTAAAATGTATAAAATGAATCCACGTGTTAAAAAATTTCTCCATCATTTTCCGATGACAATTTCATGGTTTAATCGTCGGTTAGTTCTAATATTAGGTTAAGGTCATTAGTTGAAAATTCTCGTCTAATTTTTCTTGCAACTGAAACATCGTCTAGGTGTATTAATCATCCAGGCTTGTTAATCCCTCCGTCCAACTGTCAGTCAGATCGTCTGACACCTAAGCAAAAAAGCTGGAAAAAAGCGAATGATCGCGTTTTTTTTAAACGGGTTGCCCGCCCGATACGCTATAACGTTTCAAGCTTTGATCTTGTTTTCACAGATTCACACATCGTGAGTGACAGACACAGATGCATTTTTATGAGAAAAAAGTTCCACAACTTTTGCAAGTAACTAGAAACTGATGTAATCGTGGCCAACCACGACCAGTGGTTGACCAAACAGAAAGGTTAGGAAAAGGACGATCGAGAAACTGTTTTGATTTCGCGGTCGGTAACTCTTCTGCTTATTACCGGCCAGAAAACGAGGGAAAACGAAGTCACTCGAGAAAGAGAGAAAGAGGGAAAAAGAGAAAGACGTTTGAGACACAGCACACAGAGTTGAGCTGAACGATTTCTACGAAGTGAAAAGAGAAGAGACGAGACGATTTTCTCGGTTGGAAAATAAAGGGAAATTCGCCCTGGTGTGCCGAAGCAGCGCCGTCAAATTGAAAGAGTTAACAAACAGGGTCGGCGGGAATTGCAGTTTTTTGTGTGACCTACATACACACGCAGTGATAAGTTGATACTGCAGCGAGTGATGTACGTCTGTCATGGCGCTAAATTAAGTCTAATCGATCCTTTAGTAGACTATTCGCAATCCCCTGATTTCATTATGTAACGCCTTTGCGCGCATCGTTGAAATTTTTTACCTTTTTCCGTTCTTCCGTTTGTCATTTCTCTTCGGTTTCTTATTTCGGCGAATTATTTATTTTGCAACTCTTTCTCCAGCCGAGTCGTGTCGGATTCGCTATATACACTGGCGACTACCCCGAGCTGTCACATCTTAATTTTCTTCTTCGAGAATCGCTCAGCGAGCTGACATTTTATAATGAGTTTCAATTACGCGCGATCGCACTCGTCATCGACGATACCAATATGAAGATTGGCTTTTGCAATTCTAATGTCGTCTTAATCTCTCGGATTTCAATAACTTCATCGCGCGTGTTTGACGCGAAATTATTAAGGTTAAGGTTAGGTTTAAACAACGTAAAATTTCTGCGCGCATATCTCTTAATCGTGTGCGTGAATCTTACAGTTAATTTTCTGAATGAGACGTCAGGTGGTTGCATATAGAATTAAAAATATTTAATCCTGGAGCAGTGGTTCCCAACCTTTTTTTTTTTTTGGTTCAGTTAAGCATTTCTAAAATCTCCTCCCCCTTTCTGTGACACGTAATTCTTGTTATTCAAAGAGTGAATTTTTTTACGTGGAAGAAGCCTAAAGAGCCATTAACTGGTCAAAACAATTGATTTATGATTTTTATTAGAAATTTTATATATATTATTTTACATTTTATTTTATTTTATATTATATATTTTGGAAATATAATTTTATTATATTTTAATATTCCTATTTTATTGGATATAATATTTAATATTTCTATTTTATTACTCGTGGACTAATTCGAAACAAAAGATTTACTCGACACAGAAGTAACGTCGCGCGGAGAGCTAGTGCAAAGAATTAAAAGAATTAAAAATTAATTTCATTGAAACTCGGCGAAATTCATTCGGAGGACTTTCTTGCGTTATTAATTCTATTATTCGCCGGTACCGAGCTCTCGATGGAATTAAAAATTGTCTTTCGTCGTATTGTTACAATGAAAATCGTCGGCACGTGAAAATAGACACACGCTACTTACGTTTTCCATGCGTACAATATTTATTTGTAATTCTGTAACAAGAGCGTTTGGCCTCGAATTTTGTACAATTTTCTTTTTCTTTTCTTTATATGTAGATTATATTCGAGACACCCTATATATAGGGCCAAAAGTTTCTCCCCACCTATTTTTTTTTTTTTATAAAACATCAAAATATAAAAAAAAACTAATTTTATTAATTTTAAATTGAATTTAAAAATTCGAGCATGAACTTAAATTAGTGTACCTTAATCTGTGAAAGAAAACAAAAATTAAAAGTAATATATAACAAAACAGTTATGGATTTATTTTAGGAAGTTGATGATTTTTGGCCTACACTATATATATATATAATATGATCGCGATGGACATGAAAAAGAGAAACTTATTAAAAATAACATTCCTTTTGTTATTTAGATCTTTAAAATTCTTTTGTCATTTTTAATAATTGCTGGCTTAATTGCTTATTAAAAATAACATTTTTTTTTTTTTCATTTCCATCCAGTTAGTTTCGTACTCGAGGAAGAATAATTAAATACAACGATGGAAACTAGTCGTTGGTTAGTTTTTAATTAACTTACAAACAAATTTGGGAAAAGAGTGTTTGTTAGGTTAAAAAAAGAAAACTTAACTTGATGTATCATGAACGATATTTTGATAATTTCGCAAATGTTGATACCCGCGCTTTATGGGGCCATGTTTAAGTTATTTAAGTGAAACAAGCTTTTAATTAACGCGCAAATCGGAGGGGAATGTTCGCAAAAAAAAAAAAAAAAAAAAAAAAATGGCTCGTTGAAACTTCAGCCCTTGCACTC